CAGCTTGTGCAGCAGCTCCTTCTTGAATTCGGCTCTCGATGGCAGCTTTAAATTTGGAGATGTCCACTCCCATTTGCCCCTGAAGGAATTTCTCCCCTTCCATCAGCGGGGGAAAAACTTCCTTCTCCATAGCCGAGCAGAAGGTTTGAATGGCTTCAACAGCCCTCTTTTCATACTCTTCGCTCTGCTGCTGCTTCTCTTCAGCAGCCTGCTGCTTCAGCTCAGCAAGCTTCGCCTCCTCCCGGGCAATCTTTGCATCCTCCCAGGCATGCTCCAGCTTATCTTGAAGGGTGTCAATCAACTCTACAGTAAGAGTCTGATTGTGCACAACCTTTTTGCAAGGGCACATCAGTTAAAATAGATAAAATAATAAAAAAGGAAAGCCAGAAAGGAGAAAAAGAGCTGAATGAAAGCAAAACTAAATGGTTAAGTACCTGCATCAGCAAACGCTGGTTGTCTCTTGCAGGGTCAGGGACCCTTTGGCTGGACTCTACCATCCCAGCCGTGGCCTTCAGCGACCACACCCTCGCTCGGTCCACTTCGGACATGCTAGTTAAGTCGCCGAAGTAGCCTGCAGCCCCTTCACGGTTCTGGCCCCAAATTCGTTCCCAAACAGGTTCTGGGACTGTGATACGGGGGGCCGAGAAACCCAAATCTCCAGAGTTCAGCGTCTGGAATGAGGGGAAGGAAGAAGAGGGAACCTCCTGAATCTTCTCAGGCTCAGCATGACCTTCTCCTTCGGCGGAGCCCAGTTGGTCTCCACCAGGGTCAGCAACAACGACCTTCTCTGCTTCATCCCCCAGATCAGGTTGACGAAGAAAAGCGTCAACCTCCCTATCAATATCATCTGAGAAGCCTTCAGCAATCGGCTTCTCAGATTCTTCAGCAGGGTGTCCCTGAACCCCCCCCCCCTTCGGATCAGGAGTTATTTGGTCCACCTCCATCTCTTGAGTTTCGGGAGGTGGAGGGGGGGTTTGAGGACGCGGAGCTTCCGGCGGAGGGGGAGCCCTCGGCGAGCGTCTACCTTCATTAGGCTCCCGTATGAGGATGCCCCCAGTAGGCCTCATCCCCATCTGAAACTGCCGAGGCCCCAGCACGGTTAACCTCCTCCTTCTCTTTGCTAAGGGCTGCTCGTCCATTTCTTCAGATTCTGACGAAGATGGATCTTCAGAACGAGCAGGCGCCTTTCCTTCTCTTCTTCCGCTCTCTTCCTCAGACTGTAGAAAGGGGGGGCAGCAAAGTGTGAGTAAAAAAAAAAAAAAAAAAAAAAAAAAAAAAAAAAAAAAAGAAAAAAGAAAAACACCAAGCAAGTCAGGAACTTACTGGAACCCTCGGCTGAACTCCAGGTGCAGGGATATCCCTCTCAGCAGCACCAGACGTCCCAACACCTCCTTCCAAGGAGTTGATTACTCGGGACACGTCAGCTGCTGTGTGAGCAGCCTGTGCTTCCTCAGGTAATAAAGGCCGAAGGGGATCTCGCTTCTCCCACCAAGGCTTCTGCTTGGTGTATTCGGCGGCAGCTTCGATCTGAAGGCCCGTTTCGTGTAGATGCAGCGGACGGTCCTTCGGAGCTGTGATCGCTGGAGCCCGGTCTAAAATGACTCGTTCAGCGTTCACCCCAAGCCGATTATAGTCAACCCCCGAAGTAGCTTCGCTCAGCTCTGAAAAGAACAGACGAAGGTTAGACTAAGGGAATAAGCATCAAAGATAAACAAAAATTAAACAAGTCAGAGTCCTCGGCCCCAGCCGAACATACTTACCATCCCTGTACTTTCGGCTGAGGCCGACAACTTCCAACATCTTCTCTTGGAAGACGTAATGGTTGTCTGGAAGCCATCTGGCCGGGATAAATCTCATTCGGCCAATTCCCCCAGGGTTATTCTGCTTCCCGAAGAAGCTCATTTGCTCATAGCTGGGATGACGAGCGGCATCAGGGTCCTCAGGACCCAAATCCTGCATGTTCGGATCAGGCCGGGAGAGGTATCGGGGAGCCCCGAAAAAATAGGGATGCTCGGGATCAACGGGGACTCTCACCCAGACCCATTGACCCCTCCAATCTTTGTCCGAGGAATCGTTCGGCCACATAGTCAGATAGTGGGGGCGGCTCTCTATTCGCCACCAGCCTGAAGACCCATGTTGGCCGTATGTGTTCTGAAGGTTTTGCACCAGCTGATGCATCTTTCGGAAGCAGTGCAAGTTCGGCTCAACAGCAAAAAACCGACACACCCATAGATAAGTCATCACCCGCCGAATGCTAACGGGTGTTAATTGGCACAGGGAGATCATGTACTTTATTAAAATGTCCCTGACGAAGGGATCCAAAGGAAACCGAAGCCCGTACTGTAATTACCGAGTGTACACCCCTATATACCCAGGAGGGGGACGGTGAATCCTATCAGTCGGCGAGGGCATTCGGCACCAGTGTCCATCCTCTTCAAAAATGTCGTAGTGCAACTCAATTTGCTCGGCGAATCGGTAGGTTTCGGCATGCCGAACCCACCATGAGTATGGGGTATTTCTCACCATGGCGTCCTGGGCCTCGGCGTCCTGCCATTCAGCATGCCCAGGAAGCAGGTCCTAGAGCACAGGGGGCAAATCTTCAGCCTGCCCAGCCTATTCTCTCTGCTGAGACGGCGCGCCGTTTAAAGGAACTGCCGGAATCCCCCTTTCCGGGTCTTCACCGGCTCGTTCCCCGTTCCAAACGTCGGCGCGGTCACGGGGATCCCTAACCTGACCCCGTCGACCCGGCTGACGCCTCCTTTCTCGAGCCATAATCAAATTCAAAGAAGGAAAGGATGGAGAAGAAGAATTTCCCTAGAAAAGGCAAGAAAATCGGAAAAAACTCGAGGAAAATTACCTTCAAATTGGCCGGAATACGCCGGTCAAATCAGTGGAAGCGATGGATTTGAGTCTCGAACTCGGATTCGAGAATGGTACGCTAGAAATTCAAAGCGAAGATGGGTTTGTGCGAGAATTTTAGTGTAAGTTGGTGAAGAAATGAGGTTGAAATGCGAATCAGACCTTATAATTCCAGGAAGGAGAATCCCAAAGGTCGAAAAGTTCAAATTTCTCTTAAATGCCTCCTTAATTAACCGTTAAACTCTCTCTCTCTTGATAAACCGCCCACTATCCACTCCACTTCCTATTAATTATCCAAATTACAGTTATTTAATTAATAATTGTTTAAAAATTTAAATCTTTTGATTTAATTAAATCATTTACTTCCCTCCATTTCTTATTGGATTCAAATCCGACCCGTCATCCTTCCAAATCGGGTCTGGGGGAAAGTTGTTTGGGTCCAATTTATCTTATTGGGCCTAGTCATGTATTTGGGTCCAATTATCTTATTGGGTCTGGTCATTAAATGACTCAATATTCCAAGGTCAAGGCCCGAGCCTCCAATCAAGCCAAGTCAACCAAGAGTCCTTTGGTCCGAATTGCCATGGTCAGCCCATAACTATTTAAAGGCCCAATTACTCTCCTCTCATCAGGTGCAAAGGTATAAAAGCCTTCAATTCATTCATTTGTACATGAACATACAAAAGCCTCAAGCACTAAATTTCTTGCATAGCTTTCTCTCTCTAAACACTGTTTGACTTCGGCATCGGAGGGGTCTTCCTCGGATCCACCCCCGAGGCCAGTTTACGTGTTTTAGTTGTGCAGGAAACCTTCGGCCCAACATCAATTGGACCGAACCAGTCTTCAGCCACTTCAGCGGGCCTTCGGCAAGGCCCATTGTTTTCATCCGAAACAACAAGTATTTTACGAAATAATCTCACTGTTATATAAACTCGGGAGTTTTTCATTCAGTGATACTCTACTCTGTTATGGAGAAAATTGAGATACAAACAATACTAAATGTTGCACTGCCATGCTTTAGAGCACTCACACTAGTGAGCAAAAAAAAATGCTCATTCTCTCTCTAGCCACTTTATCTCTCTTCAAACCCATGAGCATTTTTGGTGAGTAAATTATATCCCATTAGTGAGCAAAAAAAAAATGATCATCATTCTCTCTCCTAATTTTTATTTTTAAGAAAATTTGGGAGTAAGAATAATATAGTGTTTTTATGATTTATGAAATTATACAAAAATATGTCAAAATGGATCTCTATTTATAGAGAAAAAAAAATTATAATCGTTGCTGATTTTTTTTTTTTATATATTCAAAATTGGCCAAAAAATAGCTGTTTTAATTTAATTATCGTTTGAAAACGGTAACATTTGCTGATTGGGTGAAGAGGCTGACAGGGAGAGTTGCTCATTGGAGAGTTGCTGGACCCCACGTAATTACTGTTCATCCTCAAATTTGCTCATAGGATGAGCAAAATGAGAAATGCTCATTAGCATTTTTCAATATGCTCATTGATGGGGAACCATTTCTAACAAATTTGCTCACCATTTTTGCTCATGAGCAAAAAAATGCTCACGTGTGAGTGCTCTTAGTGCTTACATGTCTAGAAAAGTCATCTGCATATTTTTCTTTCACAATACATTATTTGAAATCAACATGCACTGCTGAGGCGCAGACTATGAAGTATTTACATGATCCCAAGTCAAAAACGTTCATGAAAGATATTTTTGCAATTCACTCTGTCAAGCCAAGTCTTGCAGTCTTCCACGTTGAATAACACAGCAGCAACCTTTTATGCAGCTTCCTGCAGACCATCCATAGCTACATCGTAAATCTGAATCAACATTCCACAGATAAAATGGGCCCTAGCTGTTGGTTCCAATTAGTCAGAGGGACTTGAGAATTGGTTAACTCCTCAACATCATGTTCATCCAATGTTCAAGCGACACTCTTAGCAGCTTCCATATGAGTACCATCCTAAGCACATTAACAAGTACCTGGACATTTTAGAATTATAAGAGGATTCATAGGCAGTCAATCATCAGGCAAAGTACAATCAAGCCAAAATGTAAAAGATTGTACACCATCCACTCAGAAAATAAAATCTTCAATTTTCTACAAATCAAGAATATAAATAGTCAAAATACCTTTTAATTATGATAATGTAAGTTTGATATCAACTTCATGCTTCAAGAAAAATTTTATTTACGCTTCCACCTGCAATTAATTACCAGTACACTATATACAGTAAGTAGTATATTCTGCACAAGCATACAAGCGTAGATGGTTCAATGGAAAACAACACATAGTGCTTCAAAACTAAATAGAAATGTAACTCAAAACTCTAACCTGAACGTTGAGGACCCCATGATCAAGCTAGGTACACAATTGAAACTGTCAATCTTGGTAGATAATTGCCAAATAACCATCACAGCAAGCTCCCAAGCAGAGCTAGTACTCCCTGTGTAGTTTCAGACAAAATTATAATTAGTAGCTGCTTAAATCATATTGGGATAGAGCCTATATAATATGAAGCTATATCTAATCAATTTAGGGTACCTCAGTGTAATTGCTTACCTTAATGATATATTGGGAATGCGTTGAATCTTGGGCCTGTCCTCTCCATATCTGCATCTGCTTTCTAGTTCTGGACATCCAATTATTTCAAGGTTCTGAAGGGAGGCAGTGAGATGCTCCAACCCCCCTGTTCCTACTCTCCTCAAATTACTGCAATAAGAAATTCGAAGGCTTCGTAGGGAACAAGTGTATTTGTATTTCCGGAATACATCCCCAATTTCTGATAAACTCTGCACCTTCTCATCGCAAGTTACGTGGAGGGAAGTTAAACAACGGGAGGGTATCGCCTTGAGAAGACCCACATCATCTATCTCCACCTCCCTTAATCTGACGTCACCTTGTGAATTTCCAACCTCATCCAATCTCAAATCTTCGAGGCTTCGAAATGATGTTAACTTAGGGCATGCCATGATAACCAAGTTGGAGAGATGAGGGAACATCAAGATATGGTCATCCTCAATCAACTCCTCCTCCCTCCACCATCCTTTAAAACTATCGAGACAGCGAATGTCGAGTGATTCAAGGGAGGGGAAGAATGCCGTCATATCTTCTCCATTGTTGCTTCTTGTATCCTCCATATATTTCAGCTTATATAGAGAATCAAGATACAGTGATTTCAGATTACGCAGCTTACTCAAAGATGGTATCTGCTCCAAGTTGCTACAGCGATAAAGGCTGATCTTGACAAGATGTGGGAGGGAGAGTGCCCAGTTATCCTGTGCTCTACCCCACCTTGGAATTATCGTACCCTTGTAACCCAACAAGTTCAATTCCTTGAGATTTGAAGGTGGCTCTAGCTTTTCCATCACACCTTCCCTCTCTATACATCCATCATTTTCATCACCATTGTCAACAAATAAGATTTCAACTTCAGTGATATATTTCAGACCCTTCAAATACTCTCCTCCACCATCATTCATGTTAAATTTACCGATTTTAATCTTAAAGTCACCTTTTAGGTTGGTCAGGGGTTTAAGGTCTTTCAGTTCTCCCATACTTAGTTCATCTGTAGAAACTCTCTTTTCCATACCCACCACAAAGAGTGGTAGCACCCTAAGATTAGTCAACTTACCCATGCCTGATGGCATACTAGTTAACTTTAAACACCCACTTAAATCAAAGTGCCTGAGACTTGTCAACTGACCTATGCTTGTAGGTATACTACTTAACCTATGACAATTACTTAAATCAAAGTGCCTAAGACTTGTCAACTGACCTGTGCTTGTAGGCATACTACTTAACCTACGACAATTCCTCAAATCAAAGTGCCTAAGACTTGTCAATTGACCTATGCTTGTAGGCATACTACTTAACCTACGACAATTACTTAAATCTAAGTGCCTAAGACTTGTCAATTTATCCAAGCCCGAAGGCATACTACTCAACTCAAAACACTTACTTAAATTCAAGTGCCAGAGATTAGTCAATCTATCCATGCAAGGCATATCAGTTAATTTCTCACAACTACTTAAATTTAAATGCCTAAGTTTTACCAATTTGCTAAAATCTTTTGGCAATTCCCTCAACTGTTTGCAACTATGTAAATTTAATGTTTGCAGATTCTGTAGTCCAATAATAGAATCAGAGAGTGACTCTAAACGATAATTCCAAGACAGATCAAGATACCTTAAATGCAGTAGCTTACCAATTGAATCACACAACCTTTTTATATCTGATACTCTCTGCAAGCACAACACCCTTAAACACATCAAACTATCAATCTGTGTATCCGCAAGAGTTATTGAATGATTGTATGAATGATCGTATCTTGAAACAAAAGAACGAATCTTACTCTTAAAGTAAAATTTATTTGGACAATCACCAGCATAATATACATGACGAACTTTATCTCCCAATTTGGTTGTATTAGAACTCAATACACCAGTTTCCTCCCTCCCCACATCCATAGCAACATCGTGCATCAAGTCATGGATTTTCACGGACCCAATATCACCATATTTATCCTTTTCTACATCCTGAAAGAAACATCTGCGTACCAGTATCAAGAAATGCTCCTCCGCCGCATCTTCTATGCTTTGATCTTTGTCTAGCGACACAATGTATCCTTGTGCCATCCAAAGGCCAATCAACTCCTTCCTTTCGAGTCTATAATCTTTGGGAAAGAGTGCACAATAGCTAAAACAACTCTTTAAAGAGGGTCTAAGGTTGTGGTAACTAAGCTTTAGTATAGACATAATTTCATTGTCACCTTTTTCAATTCCAGCAAATCCGCTGTGCTCATATGTCTGCCACTTATTTACAGGTTGGCCAAATAAAAGACTACCTACCACCTTTATGGCAAGCGGTATGCCATAGCATTTTCCAACAATCTTCTTCCCAATATCAACTAAATCAGGATCATTTATTTGGTCTTGTTCCCCTTTGTCAAATGCTACAGACTCGAACAAGAGCCATGAATTCTTTAGAGACAAACCTTGCAATTTGTGCCCATGCTTTTCCCCGATAATTTTTGCAGTGATCTCTGAGCGTGTTGTTACCACAATCCGACTACCCTCTTGACCCAACATTAAGAACGTTCGGAGGCTACGCCATTTCTCACAATCTTCATTCCATACGTCATCAAGAACAAGCAAGTACTTCTTTCCTCTTAGCTGCTCTTGAAATTGCTTTTGCACCAATTCCATTGAGGAGGTATCATCAGGCCTTTTACCAGAAACTAATTCTAGGATTTTACAGAGAATGACCTTGACATCAAATTGCTCCCCATTTTGATCAGACACACAAACCCACAACCTTAACTTTGAATCTGGAAACTCTGCTACAACCCTTTCATCGTTATACACAAGCTGAGCAAGAGTAGTTTTACCCAAACCTCCAACTCCCACAATAGTCACAAAGCGAAAACTTTCATGAACATTGCTCGGACTTAACAACATATCAATGACAACCTTTTTATCATCCTCCCTCCCAATAATATCCCCAGCATCCACGTAGGAACAAGTTTCCTTCCTCCTCCTACAAATGGGTTTATAGTCAACACTAAGCCCAAATTTGTGATGATTACTAACAATATTATTCAACTGCTCCTTAATGTCCTTAACCTGACGAGACATTCTATAAGCTTGACTCACCTCCTTTTTCTTACCAGAAAAAAAGTGGTTTACCTTTTTAAGGAATTTATGATCCTTGTTGCCATCAAGCAGCTTGAGCTCAGCAAGGGTGAAGAACTCATCGAACAGATCATCAGCATCGTAAACAACATCCTTGAGTTTAGCAATGTAGCCGCGTGCTTCTTGGGAAAGCTCACGCTTGGAGTCGGCATCAAGGAGCACGTTTTTGATGGTGGAGACGGTGTTGTTGAGCTCGTCGAGTTGAGATTTGTAGCCCCACATGTCACAAATCTCTTTGATGATCTCAGATCCAATAACTTCAATGAGCTTTTCAGCAAGGATGATTCCGATTTCGGCCATTGGGGAATTAAAAGAGATGAGAATGAAGAGATGGGAGGATTTAGAAGGATGCTGTAATTTGTTTAAGGAGTAAATGAGTAGTGTTAAATGAACAAGTATGTACTTCACAACTACCAAACAAATATAATGAGCTCCACTTGTTTACTGAAGGTGACTTGTGAGTAGAAATCATCAGCAGCTTCCTGTTGGTTTCCATGAAATGAACTGGAACCACATCAACTTATGTAATTATTCAATCATACTCGTATAATACGGTACATTGTAAGATTTTTGGCACATAATCTGTTTGAAAATTCAACCTACTTTTTCAAGTAAATACAAAAGAAAGGTAATGAAGTTTGGGAATAGTTGTAAACAAGGTACTGAAGTGACAATAGTCGCAACACAAACTTTTTAATAAAACGGATGTTCATTAAATTACTGAACATCCGTTATAAAGTGACAATAAAATGTGCAAAAGTTACACTAAAACGCACAAAAGTTACCGTGACATATATAAGAGTTATTTATGCTTTATTGATAAATTTGACAAAAGTGACACTAAATTTGACAAAAGTGACACTAAATCTGACAAAAGTGTACCCGATGTACAGTAAATTACTGAAAACCGGGTGTATACAAAAGTTTTCCTAGTTGCAAAGAAGGTACTGAAACCTTGGTCAAAGGTAAAAAAATCTGGTAATGACCTACATCAACCGGTTAACTCCCATTTTAACTTGAAAAAAAAAGAAAAAAAGAAAAACATTGAATTAAAAAAAATCTAACAAGCTTTCCCACATTATTTCTTCAGTTTAAAATCAGAGCATAAATCTAAGTCAATTATACAAATATATAAAGATCATGCAAATGAATTAATAACAAATACGAAGTATATAAAGTTTAGTATTATCAACTGATTAATCAAAGATTGTATGCCAATAGTTAATTAATTAATTTTATAAAAATGCAGACCCTAGAATTAACAGGAGCAACAAAATTGAAAACTAAAATAAATAAAATTGAAAGGGGATCAACTGATCCTCACCATTAAACCACTTGGGTGAAAATTGATGAACTGAACTTGTTGGAGATTACAGATCTGGAAACTCGGAACAAATTAGACGATGAAGCGAAGAACAACAAATTTCCAGATTACATCATCTCATCATCATAAAATTAATTGACCCACCATCAATTTGCTCATACCCTTTCCGAATTTCTTCTCCCAAAGACTAAGATTGCTTTTAAAATTAAGCCTGATGTAGTGAAAGTGGAGCAAGGAAGGGCCCTGATTTTTGAAGACATCAGTTTGCTTGGGAATTCTTTTGCCTCCTTCTTTTATCTCTATGTAATTGCAAGATTAGTACCTTTCGATTGGATAAAGCAAATTTTATTGAACAATTTCCCGCAAAAGATTTTAAGAATTGCTGCTGATATTTTTTTGGTTTGAGGTTTTCTTTTTTTTTTTTTTTTTGGTTGGGTTTTGGATGAAATTACCTGTAAATATTTTTTTTTTTTTTTTCTGAAGGACCTGTAAATACTAAATATTACTCGTAATTCAGTACCTATTAATTGGTGTCAGTCAATTGCATTTTCTTTTTTCTTTTTTTTTTTTTACTAACTTTTTCCTGTAATTTTCCGGTTGCACTAAGTCATTAGAAGAGGTTACCTGTTTCGGTATCTTGTTTGCAACTTCTCAAACTTTGGTGTACCTAAACTACAACTTCTTGCAAACTTTTATACCTTTCATTTATGTTTATTCCCTTTGTCTACTTTTATACGGAATACTTAGGGACTGTTCACATTTACTTAACTGAACTGAACTGATTGGAGCTGAACTAAAATGAACTGATTAGAGCTGAACTGAACTGAACTGATTGGAGCTGAACTGAAATGAACTGATTAGAGCTTAACTGAACTGAATTAAGCTGAAATGAATATTTTATGAGAGAGGGAAATTAAGAACTGAACTGAACTGAACTGAACTGATTGGAGCTGAACTGAACTGAACTAAACTGATTAGAGCTGAACTGAACTGAAATTAAGTAAATGTGAACAGGCCCTTAGTATACACAACTTTATTACTTTTAGGGTCTGTTCACATTTACTGAACTGAGCTGAACTGAACTGAACTGAACTGAAGTGATTGGAGCTGAACTGAACTGAACTGATTGGAGCTGAACTGAACTGAACTGAACTGAATTAAGCTGAAATGAATATTTTATGAGAGAGGGAAATTAAGAGCTGAACTGAACTGAACTGATTGGAGCTAAACTGAACTGAACTGAACTAAACTGATTAGAGCTGAACTGAACTGAACTAAACTGAAATTAAATAAATGTGAACAGGCCCTTACTCTGTCCGTTCTCCAAAAAGTTAAAAAGATGGAGGTAGTATAAAAACAAAATTCGTTTTAAAGTTCTGAAACTAGTGTCACTAGTTTATGTTGGGAGTCTTGGTACATAAGGTAATCAAACAAGTTGGACCCAAATTCGATTTAAGAAGTTGTATAGCCAATCCAATAATAGTTTTGTTTTTTTCTTTTTTTAATTCTTTTTATATACGAAGTATAATAGTTTTTGGTAATAATGATCTCTCTCTTCACGTTAAGAAGCACTCACCGACTTTGCATGCTCTGACGTAGGGGTGTCAGTTCGGATAATCGGATCGGGTCTGATATGGTCGGGTCGGGTCGGATAAATTTTCAAAGTTGAGTTATACTAAGTTATTATATCCACGCGAGTCCAAATCTGAATCGGATATTTTCCGGGTCGGTTTCGGGTCGGGTCGGGTCAGGTGTGCTTTTGACACCTCTACTCTGACGTGGTGGTTGTTCGTAGGCGATAGTTGTTTGGTGGTTGGTAGGGTAACAAGTTAGAGAGTGGTTAAAGAAAGTGAAAGTGGAATATGATACATTTTATATGGGGGCATGTTTGTAAATTAAAGTATAATAATAAAATACGAGCGTTACCCGATAAATATTGAACGTGGTTTAGCAATTCACTAGTTATGTAGTTATCTTACAAAGCCGTACATAACACTATCTTATAAAGAACATCATCTTCAACTTTTGTCACATTATTCTCAAGTTCAACATCCAGATTCATCAAATTTCAAAAACGAAAATAAACAATGAATTTTATGATTACAAAATATTCTAATTCAAATCTAAGATAACACAATTGATGAAAAATAAATACAGAATTTCATTCAAAATATTCTTATTCACCTTCATTAACAATCACTCCATTACCAAAACAATGATCAAAAGCACCACGAAACTCGATCTAAATGCACAACCATCGTCTTCTATTAGAAGAACTAGATGAAGCCCGTGCGATGCACGGTTTGTTTGATTTTTTTTTATATTTTATTTTTTATTTTATTTTTTGTATTTATGAGCTAAAATTTGTTATATATTTAGATAAAATTCCTAATATTAAAAGATAATATTTAATATTAAATTTGTTTAAACTTAAAAATTTCATTTGCCAATTTTGCTTACGTGGCATTTGAATTATTTAATTCTAAAAGAAATTAATAATCTCTTATTTAATTGGCTATTACTAAGATTTATAATCCTACATGGCGTGCTGAGAAAATTAGATCATACATGGCTCTCTAAAAATTATGTTCGTTATTTATATTACGAATGTTCTTTAGGAAGCTAGATAATTTTCTTTACAAAATAGTTATATATTATCTACAAAACAACTAGATGTGACGTTCTTTATAAAATAGCTATATGTTCTTTACAATACAACTGTATATTCTTTACTGAACAAATAGATGTTCATTCCACCTTATTTTTTTTAAGAAAACCGAATGCACGAAACATGATGCATCCGCCTCCAGCACCAGCTTCCCTTGTGAACTAGTGGTAAGAGAATGAAACCTCTTAAGTCTAGCTAGTTCTGGGTTCAAGCATCTCTTTCTCTCTTCTCTCTAAAAAGCATATGCCTCTAGGGAAAAAATTTCACGTTTTGTTGGGTTTGGGAGGTTGGAGGAACTGAGATGAAACAACTCAAGGACACGTGGGTAGCACATGACTAGTCCAATTTGCCTTCATCTCCACCTTAGTTTTCCTCCAATTATCCGTTCTTTGTTATTAGAAAAAATTGAAATTGATAATCATACTTTTGCGTATTCTGGAAATAATCCTACCTTTGGCTCATCTTCTTAAAATAATCCTACCTTTGCGTATTTTGGAAATAATCCCACCTTTAAACCCCATATTCTTAAAACAAGCTTTTTTTACTTTCAACCTTCTACACAGGTTAATTTTTTTTCTTTAATCCCTATTCTTCCACTTTACCCCATTCCTCCGTGTCAACCACCATCACTACCACCATCACCGCACCCATCACCACCGAACTGACCCAACTCCAAAACACCACTTGAATCAAGGAAGAGGGAAAGGGAAGGGTCTGCCATGTCCAATCCCCACCCCAAATCCCCTCTTAACCACCAAATCGAAACCCACCTGAATTAAAAATCTCGTTCAGGTGTGGCGTCTGGGTTCTACAGGGAAGGGGTTCAGACCTTTGTCCGGCCTAGAACTCAATCTACGGCGGCGGACGAATCGGAGTTTCTCGACGTTCAGGCAACAACGAGAAGTTCAACTTCACACACCAACGATAAACGGGGAAGCTTTTAAGTTCGGCGGCTCGGCAGGGGAGGTGTAAGGCTACCGAACCATGCTCATACACACAAGTACAATATTGTCTGCTTTAGGCCAAGCCCGCGCAGTTTTGTTTTTGGGCTCCTTCCCAAAACGCCTTGTACTAGTGTATTGAGCATCACTTTATGTGTGGGACTTGGGATGAAATTCCCAACAAATTCTTCCTTCAGACCAAGGACCACATCACCACATATGGCCTTCCCTCGAATGATAAACCCGATTTGTTACTCGCCCCCTTTTCAGTTTATCCCTGGTTCCCCAGCTTGAACACACCATCAAGAGGACTTTCGAAACAAAGGGCACAAATCACCAAACTTCGAAGACACACGAGGAACACCCCACATACTCCACGGTAGCCATCTGCCCCGGACTGAACCTGCCCAGCTCTGATACCATTTGTAAGGCTACCGAACCATGCTCATACTGCCATACACACACTAGTACAATATTTTCCACTTTAGGCCAACCCCGCACAGTTTTGCTTTTGGGCTCCTTCCCAAAAGGCCTTGTACTAGTGTATTGAGCATCACTTTATAAATAGCTCATCCCCTTGCTATTTTATCCATGTGGGACTTGGGATGAAATTCCCAACATGAGGGAATCGAGGAAGGGGAAGTGGAAAGGGGGTATGGGGAAGGGGAGGAAATCGGGGAAGGGGAAGAAGTGCTTAGAAGGGAGGGAATTAAGGACGTCGTTGGCCGGCTGGGTCTGGCTGTTCCGGCGGGCGGCTAGGTTCGGTGAGGGAGGGGGGTGTGGCCACATTGATTTATAAGGGTAATCTTTGTTTATATGTATGAGTAACCTCATTTTTTCATAAAAGTAACACCATGTTGCACATAAAAGTAACCCAAATTCATTATAAGAGTGAAATCAAGTAATTTATAAATAAGTAACCCCATTTGTTCATTTGAGTAACCCTTATTCTTTTGTTTTAAAACATGAAAGAATAATTCAACTAATTTAAGAGAGTAACCCCCTATTCTCATTTAAGTAACTTACATATGTTAAGGTAATCCCATTTGGTCATCACTATAACCCCCTATTACTTAATTAATTGTCTTATATGTGATTATGTGAAGTGGCCACACCATGTGGGTAGCCACATATAAGACTTTGTGTAAAAAAAAATAAACCAATTAGAAGATGACATGATCTTTTACCAAAATGGCTATTTTAACAAAAGTATTTACCAAAATGGCTAATTATAAAATTTAATTCCCAAAATAGCTAAATTTAATGATTTAAAAGGATATTATTTATTTTTTATACTCCTTTGAACCTGTTCGGTTCACTTTATATTTTTTTTTATTTGGATTTATTCAAAAAGAATTAGTTTTTTTTTTTTTTTAATTTTGGTTTTATTAAAATTCTAATGCCATAGTTTAAAATATCCCATTAATTTGAACAATAACAATCAACATAATATATATGCAACAATTCTCAATTTTTTAAAAAGTTACACAACATAAACAATCACTAAAAAAAAATGATCCAAACTTCCAATCAATATAAGAAAAAAAAAATAGAACTATTTTTTTTAATACACATAAAGATAGAAATAAATATATGTAAGTTTGATTTATCATACACATTAAAAAAAAAAAAAAATTCATACTAGCCGACATAAACAAAGAGTATACAATTAATTTAATAAACATGAAAAAGATAAACAATACCTTAAAATCCCTTATCGTCGTATAAATTTGCGGTAATCTTGATAGAACAATAATATTGGAGTTCCAAATTTTTGTGACTGATATGATCAAGATGAAAATTTAGGGCTTTTATTTTATTTTGATTTTTCTTTTTCGAAATTAGGGATTTGCGACGGTTTACGTTATTTGTAGTTTTGTATACTGCTTAAATTTTCCAACTTAAAAAAATCTTTAAGGAAATAAAAATAGACCCAAAAAAAAAAAGTGAACCAAATTGGTTTAGAGGAAATAAGAAATAGATAAATTCCTTCCAAGTTATTAAATTAGCTAATTTGGGAATTAAATTTTATAATTAGCCGTTTTGGTAATTACTTTTGTCAAACTAGCCGTTTTGATAAAAGATCCAAGATGACAGGTGACAAAAAACCTTTTAAACAAGTAAAAACTCAGATGGGATTATTTTCAGAATACAGCCAAAAGTGGAATTATTGGATAGTTTCAATTTTTTCTCGTTATTATTGTTTTAACAATCAACAGTGTTCCTCAAATGAGAAATTTACTAATTATGTTGGCACTGGAAACAAACTCCATGCGAATGAAATTGCCAAAAGTAATAAGCTTCAAATTCATCTTCATTCTTTATTTTCTCTCCCTTCAATTCATCACTATCAAAACTACCCAAGACCCATCATCTGCAATTATCTCCAGATTCCAAGAATACCTTCGAATTAACACTGCTCAACCAAACCCCAATTACTATGAAGCTGCTGATTTCATCCTTTCTCAAGCTAATACTTTATCCCTTGAATCTCAGACTATTGAATTTGTCAAGAATAAACCCTTAATTTTGCTCAAATGGCCTGGCAAAAACCCCAATTTACCCTCAGTTCTTCTCAATTCTCACACCGACGTCGTTCCGGTGGAATTTCAGAAGTGGGTTCATGACCCTTTTGGTGCTCACATTGATTCTGATGGAGATATTTATGCCAGAGGTACTCAGGTAAGTATTTTAATCAATATTTATTATATTTAATTTATTTATTTTTGGCAAGTTGTGTTGAATGATTCATGCAAATTGACTAAAGGGTATGATTGCCGTTTATGATTATCAAAGTAGCAAATTGAAAGTTTATACCTTTCTGTTTTGTGGTAGTTTGAAGAACTGGGTTATATAAGGGTTTATATGTTTGAATTATAAAGTCTGATTTATAATATTGTTGAAAAATCTTTTTCTAAAAAAAAAATATCTATGTTAAGGAGTTATGATATTGTGGAAATGTTCCAATTTGAGAGTGATTTATAAGAAGCATCCTGTTGTTTATGTACATCATTTCTACTTATAAATATATTTGATTATGAAATTATGATAGATATTGATCAGCATTTATGCTGTGCAAGCAGGATATGAAAAGTGTGGGAATGCAGTACTTAGAAGCTATTAGGAAGCTGAAGGATTCTGGTTTTGAGCCAATTCGTACTATTTATCTATCATATGTGCCGGATGAAGAGATTGGGGGACGCGATGGGGCTGAGAAGCTGGCGGAGTCTGATTTGTTTGAGGAAATGAATGTGGCCTTTGTGCTAGATGAGGGCTTACCTTCACCAGATGAGAAGTATTTGGCATATAATGGGGAGAGGTCGCCAATGTGGCTGGTTATCAAGGCCACTGGGGCACCTGGGCATGGGGCAAAGCTGTATGACAATACTGCAATGGAGAACTTGATGAAGAGTGTTGAGAGTATCAGGGGTTTTCGTGCGTCACAGTTTGATATGCTTAAAGCTGGCTTGAAAACTGATGGAGAGGTGATTTCGGTAAACTTGGTATATTTGAGAGCTGGCACACAAACACCTAATGTAAGTCCGTGTCTTTACTGTGGCATAGGGTCTGAGGCTCAATGATGAGAATCATTAGATAACAGTTGCCTATGATACAATTGTTCTTGAGTGATTTTGTTATTGTTTGCCTCAGGGATTTGTCATGAATTTACAACCTTCTGAAGCTGAAGCTGGTATTGACATTCGGGTTCCACCTACAGCTGATCAGAAATCACTTGAAAGGCGTATTGCTGAGGAGTGGGCTCCTGCTTCACGCAACATGACATTTGAGGTAGCAGTTGCTTGATTAACAAATTTATATTTTTTTTGTTGCTGATTCACAATTTCACTCAATGAAATAATAACCATTGTTGCCTTGCATTGTGAAAGCCTGCATCAACATATTTAATTTCAGTGAAACCTGCTATCTACTTATCTAGTTATCTCTATGCATGCTTATGCTGTTGTTTGATCTGATGGTATATGCGGTACTGCTGTAGCTGATTTAATTGTTATGGCTGTCTATGGCTCTTTACTCATTTACAACTTGCCTCGGGAAGGAAAAAAGGTGTGTAGACTGCATCAGGAATGTTAAAAGCTTAATCACAAATCGATAAGAATCAATGAGCAAGAAATGCCAGCAAGAGCATTAATCTTCTTTCTTATCATCTGAACCTGTTATGTAAATTCCTGCTCATATGACCACATGTTGAATGTTTTCTTCTCTGGTTGAAGCCTTGTAAGACTCTTACGCGTACTATAAAGCTTGAAAGCTTGTAAGAATGTGCTTTATATGGGCTTCAATTAAATTGTTTTTATTTTTTTTTATTTTTTTTTTGTAATACTACATATATAATTTTCATTGCAATCAAATTAATCACTGAGGTTTTCATGGACAGTTTAAGCATGACCTCTAATTTGCAGGGAATTTGAACTTGAACTGAAACTAAATGAATCCAACCTTTAGACATCAGACCCCAAGTTTTGGCTCACATTACAAAGTAACAAGTGTATTTTTTATAGTGCAGCTGTGCAGACTTTATCATGAATTTTTGGGATGATGCATGAGTGGACATGTAATAATTAAAACCCTACACATCATGTACTTTGTTGATATCCCCTTTGCTGTTTGACTGAGATATGGTTTTGGCATGTGCAGTTCAAGCAGAAGGTTCCTGTGGTTGACAAATTTGGCAAGCCTGCTCTCACAGCTGCTGATGATTCAAATCCCTGGTGGGTTCTTTTAGAAAAAGCTGTCCGCGATTCTGGTGTTATAGTTCGAAAGCCAGAGGTAAGCTTTGGAACAACGGATGCTCGTTACTTTAGGCAGCAAGGTGTACCAGCTATTGGATTCTCTCCTATTGCAAATACTCCTCTCCTTCTACATGACCACAATGAGGTACATAATTGCTTCTGTCCTTATTTGTTTATATTTCAGGTGGAAACAATTTCGAATTTTGATGTGCTCTCTTTTTTATTGTAAGTATTGATATAGAAATTCATTTGTGGAATCAATCACATATTTACATTGCATGTCACCAAGGTTGCCTTTTTATGAGATAGATTATGTATCCAGCCTGTTACTAGTGTGGAGCTGTTAACTTCATAACTGCTGGTTTTGGTTAAATTTTCTTGCTACTTGTAACTAGTAATTCTTGCTCACATGTTAGGAGTGTTTTAGGAACTTGTAAATTTTGAAGTATTCTATATACTTTGTTGATTAAATTTTGAAATTAACTTTGATTCTTGTGCACTATATAGGATGTACTAGAACTTTTATCCAGTTGTATCAGATTTAAATTTAGGCTCACAACTGAAATACAACCCTCTGAATGTTGTTAGAATGTTATGCTATGGGAGCCAGCAGTTGTTGCTCTTCTACTCTGCATTCTTACAAACTACTTGTACCATTTACATTAGGTTTATATACTTACTTTGTAACAATTGCATTTTTAATTGCTGCAGCACCTAAATCAACGGGAATATCTTAAAGGAGTTGACACATATGCGTCTATAATCAAAGCTTATGCTTCTTTTGCTGAGGAGACAGAAGCTAACGCTTCCAAAGCTGAGTTGTAAACGCTTCCAAAGCTGAGTTGTAAAAGAATGGTTAGTATCTTTGCCCATTGTTAGAAAAACTGGATTTTTCATCCTCATCACCCATGCAACCAAATTGAACTTTTTTCTAACACCATTGTTTATAACTTGGTGCAACCTGACGGGTAGTGACAGAAGATCTCAAAGGAGTAGATAAAAAAGCTTCTATGTTCTATCATCACGGCTTATGTATTGTATGCTGAGATTGCTGACCGATTTATGGGAATAAGCCGAGACTTTCTAGGATGAATTGTTGTAAGTGATTGGCCCCATCTTGCACTTGACTATTTTGCCAGGAGCTGATTGAATTGGGACGGAATCATTTGTCGTCTCTAGGTGAAGATTTCAAGTGATTTCGGTCACTATTGCAGCTACAAAAATAAAGAACAGTTAAACTTCTTGGAACTTCTCATGTATCTATTGTTAAAGGCTCAAAAAATTTATCACTTAGGATTTTTTTTTAAATATGTTTGTACTTAGAATAATTCTGGGAGTTACGCTTGTTCAATGTTTATCTTTGAATCTTTGATCTTCTATTGAGATTTGAGAAAGGAAGTATTGTTTTTTCTGCACTTTGTACCAAACAACAGCTAAAGGAAAGAGGGAACTTGATTCCTTATCTGAACGATTGAACATGACCAAACACACTTTGAAACCAAAGTGACGCTAAGCTGTAAGCCTGTATGTACCAAATATCTTACCAACAAAGTTAATTGACATTCATACGAATTTATGTGCTTCTAATTCACAGTATTGTAACTTAAAAGAGCATGCCGATTTCAATGCTTGAACTAATAAGTGTTTAGAATAACGGGTATAACAAATTTTCAATTTAACCATTGGTTTTGAGACTCGGTAATCCAACATTTGTTGCAAAGCGTTTAGAATAACGGGTATAACAAATTTTCAATTTAACCATTGGTTTTGAGACTCGGTAATCCAACATTTGTTGCAAAGCGCTTTTCTCCTAACTGGAATACAACCGATTCGAATCCAAATTAGTCGGAGTTCAATAGGCTTAATCGTGTCTAATTAAACTAGACTGAAGCATATTAAGTAAAGGCTTAAGCCAAAACCCATCTTCTACAAGTAAAACTATGCAAACGATCAAAACCTTCTTCAATCTCTGCTTTCTCTCTCTTCTATTCTTCTCTTGCAAAGCAACCCAAAACTCATCAATTATCTCTAGATTTCAAGAATATCTTCAAATTAACACAGCTTACCCAAATCCCAATTACTATGAAGCTGTAGATTTCATCCTTTCTCAAGCTAAATCTTTATCCCTTGAATCTCAGACTATTGAATTTGTCAAAGGTAAGCCTTTAGTCTTGCTCAAATGGCCTGGAAAAAACCCCAAATTGTCCTCAGTTCTTCTCAACTCTCACACCGACGTCGTTCCGGCTGAACCCCACAAATGGGCGCACCACCCTTTCAGTGCTCACATTGATTCTGATGGCAATATTTATGCTAGAGGTTCTCAGGTAAACACTCCAATCAATAATTTAATTTTTTTGATTTAAATTTATATTCTTTTTGTATCTTTTTGATCAAGTTCTATTGATAAGTCCATTAATTGTCACATTTGTAATTACAATTATTATATGCATTCATTAGAAGACACCTAAAGCAATTAAGGGTACGTTGAGATATTAAATACTTGTTAACATTCGATTTAAATGGTTATTACAGGAAAAATTAATATAAAATAGTATCCTTTTTCTAGATAGTGGGGTTGTTAGTTTGCTACTTCATTCTCAGGACCGGTGAGTATTGAATTCTGTGTCTAAAGGGCAATGGTTTTTCAGCGATTATAGATTAGAGTTGTATGTTGAATTTTGAGAATTGAGATAGTGGGTTTTGGACTCTAATAATAAGGGTGAAAAATGAAATTGTAATATGTAAAGAGTTCTGTATTTCATTGAACTAATGGCTGTTATCCATTAATCTGTAAGTTACTATGATGTTCTGAACTTGAGGATAGTAATGTTTTCTTATAAGATAACTGTATACCCTGTATCATCCCCGGGTCTGAAGAAATTCTTATACCGATGCTAGCACACTATCATCTATATGGGTATCTTTCGCGTTCAATTATTAATGCATTGATTTGTCTGTGTTTATGACTGTATGTGGATATGATAGTTGATTTTAATAACCATGTACACTATCCATGCAGGATATGAAATGTGTGGGTACTCAGTACTTAGAAGCTATTCGGAAGCTAAAGATTTCTGGTTTTGAGCCTACTCGTACTATTTATTTGTCATATGTGCCAGACGAAGAGAGTGGAGGACTTGATGGAGCTGAGAAGTTGGCTGAGTCAGAATTGTTTGAGAAAATGAATGTGGCCTTTTTGCTTGATGAGGGAATGCCTTCACCAAATGAAAAGTATCTGGCTTATTATGCGGAGAGGTCACTAATGTGGCTGGTTATTAAAGCTACTGGGGCACCAGGGCATGGGGCAAAGTTGTATGACAATACTGCAATGGAGAACTTGTTAAAGAGTATTGAGAGTATACGGAGATTTCGAGCATCACAATTTGATATGGTAAAGGCTGGCTTAAAAGATGAGGGAGAGGTGATTTCAGTAAATATGGTGTTTTTGAAAGCTGGCACACAAACTCCTACAGTAAGTTTGTGACTTAAATTTCATTAATCTATAAAATTGACTATGTAAAGTTAAAACTGTGAGTCATTGGTTATGTGGTGGATTTAGTTTACAAACAATTTTCTATGAGCATAAAGGTCTTAACTTTACGCAGAGCTTTAAAAAGGTCTCTAGATTCTAAGAAGTTAATGTTGTGTTCTTGGAACTGGTTGCTTACCTCTTTTCTTTGATGAAGTGCAAGGATTTTTTAAGCTCTTGAAAACTCAGGCAAAGCTTTAGCAGGCATAAAAGTGAGCTTTTTTATCCAGTTTGATTCATCATCTCTCGTTCTGAAACTGATACACGTCTGGCCCCTGGTACCCGGATTGAAAATACACCTGGCCTAATCTTTTTGATTGCTTAATCTAGCTGTATAATATATCAATCAGTTATTGTCTCAGCTCCATTAATATGGGACTTCTTAATGTTTGTCAGGGTTTTGTCATGAATCTGCAACCTTCTGAAGCTGAAGCAGGTTTTGACATTCGGGTTCCACCAACAGCTGACCTAAAATCCCTTGAAAAGCGTATTGCTGAGGAGTGGGCCCCTGCTTCACGCAATATGACATTTGAGGTAGGAGTTGTTAGTCTCAAGGATCATTTTTGTTAATTTCATGTAATCAATTGACCTCCTAAATGTCCCGCCTTTATTTTTATGACTAGCCATATGCTTCAGTAGCAATCTTTTCCTACTCTGTTGTGTTTAAGATTTTGAACTTGATAAAAAGACTGGGTCAGGTATATGATGTACTCTCCAGAGTCCTAGGATATATATTTTTCAGTGTATCTTAAATACATGTATAAACTGTCAAAAGAACCAAAAAGTTACTTGGTCCATATAATTAATTTGCTCAATTTGTAAATTCTCAGCTGGTGAAGTAAACTGTTTGGGCTTTTCTTGTATTGGCCTGAAAGAAAATGTGATGCAGCCAGAATAGAGGGAGGGGAAGGGCTCAGTATAAATCTGGCAGGAAGATCTGGAGTGAAAATTGTTGGTTCCTAATGCAGCCTACTTGTGTGCAGTGCACTTAATGCATGTAAACTTGCTGTTTGTCTTTCTAATGCTATGTATTTGATACTCTCACATACATGGGTGCTTGATAACTTTTATATGTAATTATGCATGTATAACTTTGTTCTGCCCTTGTGTGTGTCATTGAGGTTTTCTATTCCTAATATGTATTGGTTTGACTGGGTGATTGTTGCTTGCCAGTTTATTCAGAAGGATCCTTTGCTTGACAAGTTTGGTAGGCCAATTCTCACAGTTGCAGACAGTTCAAATCCATGGTGGTTCCTCTTTAAAGAAGCCATTCAGAAAGCAGGTGGAAAACTTGAGAAGCCGGAGATTCTCCTTGGCGCAACAGATGCTAGTTTTTTTAGGCAAAGGGGTCTGCCAGCTATAGGATTCTCTGCCATAGCAAATACTCCAGACCGAGTACATGATCACAATGAGGTACATGATAATTTTCTTTTTAATTGTTAATTTCCCACTCTGAACTAATACATGTCCATTAGTAAACATTTATCTTCCATTGCTGCAGTATATTTAAAAATTTAGCGAAGTGGGTATGGGTTGTAGTGGTAGTTGCAGTATCCTTGAATCAACATCTTCATGTTATAATTGGAAATGATACATACCTAGATCCTGTATGTTTAGGATAAAATCTAATATTAGTACTTCTTTCAACCTTAGCATTTTCTTGGTGTTTATCCTCTTAAGTATCCTCTGTATTTTCATATATTGTGGATGTTTTACCAAGGTGCAATCTTAGATATACAATATACTCTAATGTTATCTGTTTATTATATAACAGACAAACTTTTAGGAATACAGATAAGAATGCCTGAAAGTGGCTGAAACTTAACCCTCTCGCCTCTTTGCTATTGCGTTACTTGCAATTTTAAGTTGAAAGACATGAAACGGCAGTTTATATGGTCTTCCTCTCTAAAAGCTTAAGTCCTAGCATACTTTAACTTAAATTTGTAATTTCTTCTAACAGCCACATGTTTGCTTGCTGCAGTTCCTAAATCAAGAGGAATATCTGAAAGGAGTAGACATATACGTGTCAATTATCAAAGCTTATGCATCATATGCTGGGCATGCTGAAGCTAAAGCTTCTAAATATGAGCTGTAAAAGAACAGCAGGCAAGCCTAACTGAGATATCTGGATTTTGCCACTCTTTTGTCGTGCTGTAGTCATCCTACAGCACCTCCGTTCTATCAAATTATGGATCAGAAACTAGTTTTCAGAAGAACTATTCAGCGGTTTGGTCAATGTTGGCAAATGTTATGGGTGTGTAAAAATTCTGTATAGTACTTCAAGTCTTCATTAGTCATTTTTTAACAATAAAATATTTCAGCAGCTGCTCCACTTGTGATACATAATCTAACCACCCTCTTCCCACCCCCCCACAAAAAAAAAAAAAAAAAAAATCCTATATTGATGTACCAAGAAGCATGTACCTCATGCACCAATAGATGCATACATAAACATACAGCTATGTGCACCCGGGTGCCTAAAATATTATAACCTTCCCTGAAGAATAATACAAGTACATAAGTTTGATCTATGTTCAGGATGTGATGCTGCTTGTGAAGGTTGAAACACGGGACCCGGTATTCAAACCCAAAACATAGAATTTTGTAGCCTTTGTTCTCTTCTTTCAGTTGAGCCTTCATATCCTTTACCACCATCAGGAGAATTTCAAGTGAAGTAAAACCCTTCTCTGAATTCACAGGTCACTCCCATGAAAATAGTCAACTGCAACAACTTTTTCCATTTGTACTTTCTTTCTCTCCTATTCATCTCTTGCCAAGCAGCCCAAAACCCATCATTATCATCTCCAATCATCTCCAGATTCCAAGAATATCTTCAAATCAACACAGCTCATCCAAATCCCAAATACTATGAAGCTGCTGATTTCATCCTATCTCAAGCTGAATCTTTGTCTCTTGAATCCCAGACTATCGAATTTGTCAATAACAAACCCGTAATCTTGCTCAAATGGCCTGGCAAAAACAGCAAATTGCCCTCAATCATGCTCAACTCTCACACTGACGTCATTCCGGTGGAACTCCAGAAGTGGACTCATCACCCTTTTGGAGCTCACATTGATTCTGATGGTAATATTTATGCCAGAGGCTCTCAGGCAAGCACTTTCATCAAATTAACATTTTTTTAATGGTTAATTTTTCTGTAATGATGTTAATTGTGTTTGTTTTAACTGACAAATTCGATGTATATTATAATTGTATGTAAAATCTCAATACTTTATAATAATGGCTTTCCATGAAACTTATAGTATATAGTAGCTTTGATAAAATTAGGTAGCAAATTGTGTTCTCATACAGTAAATCATCAGAGGCTTGTAGTATATAGTAGCTTTGAGTAGTGTGTTGTGTAGTTGATTAAGGGAAACTTTTGGGTCTTGACTATAATTTTTTGTGTGTTGTTTACCTATGTATATGCAGGACGTGAAATGTCTAGGTATGCAGTACTTAGAAGCTATTCGGAAACTAAAGGATTCTGGTTTTGAGCCCACTCGTACCATTTATTTGTCTTATGTCCCTGATGAGGAGATTGGGGGACGGGATGGGTCTGGGAAGTTAGCAGAGTCTGATGTGTTCAAAAAAATGAATGTGGCTTTTGTACTCGATGAAGGAGTGCCTTCACCAGATGAGAAGTATCAGGCATATTATGCAGACAAATCACCGATGTGGCTGGTGATTAAGGCTACAGGAGCACCTGGGCATGGGGCAAAGTTGTATGACAATACTGCAATGGAGAACTTGATGAAGAGTATTGAAAGTATTAGGAGATTTCGAGCATCAGAATTTGACATGTTAAAGGCTGGCTTGAAAACCACAGGAGAGGTGATTTCAGCAAATTTGGTGTTTCTGAAAGCTGGCACCCAATCTCCAACTGTAAGTCTGCATTTGTTCAGAATTCATATCATTAATTCACATATGCACATAAATAATACACTATTACTTATATGAAATTAGTAGGGGGCTTGATTTTTGTAGTGAAGATCGACAATCTAGACTTTTCTTAGTTCTTCTTAGATGGAGATTTATTCTTGTCAATCAGGGTTTTGTCATGAATATGCAACCTTCTGAAGCTGAAGCAGGTATTGACCTTCGGGTTCCTCCAATAGCTGATGAAGCTGCACTAGAAAAACGAATAGCTGAGGAATGGGCCCCTGCTTCGCGCAACATTACATTTGAGGTAGAACCTTAAGAGTTGCTGTCTATAGGAATACTTTTATTGGCTAATGTGATCATTAAATAAAATTCCTACTGTGATGACACTCAATCCTTCCTTCATGTTGTATTCTGATATGATCTTCAGATGAAAAACTAAGTCATTATTTGAAAATGACATAATTGCTTTCATGTTTTCATTTAAGCTTTAGTTGATTGACATGTTTGTTTCTTTCTCCATTTTCTTTCCACTTAAATCCAATATCCCTGCAAATAGATTTTTTCTGCTCTTTTTTCTTTCATTTGACGGCTAAGTATCATTTGGACAGTTGAAGAAGTTTTCTACACTTGACATATTTGGTAAGCCAGCTGTCACATCTGTTGATAGTTCGAATCCATGGTGAATCCTCTTAGAAGAAGCTGTTCAGAATGCTGGTGGGAAACTTAAAAAGCCGGATATTTTCCGCGGTGCAACAGATGCTAGGTATTTTAGACAACAAGGATTACCAGCAATAGGCTTCTCTCCCATTGCAAATACTCCAAGCCTAGCACATGACCATAATGAGGTAGATAGTAGTTTTTTTTTTATGTATTTGTGAATGTCAATCAGATACTTTGAGTCTGAATTTAGCGAGGCAATCGCCTTGCATTTGTTGAAAACCATTCTCTTTCATGTGTCATGAAACAGATTTCTCAAAAAAAACATGTATTCATAGTTGGTGTTTGATCTATCTGCTGCAAGTTTAGGATTATCCTCTACTGTTCTTTCTTTTTTCAAATGCATTGTTTTTTTGATTCAGATTGTCTGTTTCTTTTGATTCAGATTGGTAATTATCTGTTTTCCATAGCTGAACCTTTAAGCAATGTAATTTAATCAACAGTTTCTAGTGTTTGCTAATGGCAACGCAAACTGGCATTTACATGGGAAACCATACAGTTATCCTGTATGCTTGGAGAAAATCTAATGTTACAGTCTTAAGTCCAAGAATACTCTTAGCTTAGAATTTGGCATTTCTTCTAACAAAAACATGTTTCTTTCTGCAGTTTTTAAACCAAGAGGAATATCTGAAAGGAGTTGACATATACGCATCAATCATCAAAGCTTATGCATCATATGCTGGGCCTGCTGAAGCTAAAGCTTTTAAATATGAGCTGTAAAAGAACAGTAAGCCAGCCTAACGGAGATATCTGGATTTCGCCACTCTTCTGTCGCATTGTAGTCATCCTATAGCACCTCCATTTAATCAAATTTTCAGAAACTAGTTTTCAGAAGAACAATTCAGTCAATGCTTTCTAACTTTGGCACATGTTATGAACTCGAAGTGTGTAAAAAGCCTGTGTTACAAGTACTTCAATACTCATTTAACAATAATTTTGTGATGCATGTAAATAAATAAATAAAACTATTGCATCAGTTCACCAACTACTCCACTTTATAATAGATGTACCAAGGAGTTGCGTGCACCTTATGCGCCGATAAATGCAAACAAATTATACAGCTACGTGCACCCGGACGCGTGTACCTGAAAAAGGTTGGAATTACCATGCTGCTTGTGAACATTGAACTTAGCACCCGGCATTCGAACCCGGAGAATAGAACTTTTATAGCTTTCGTTCTCCTTTCAGTTGTGCCTTTATACTGAGAACTTCAAGTAAAACCCATCTCTGATTCTAAGAATCACAGGTGATACCAATGAAAACAGTCAACTGCAACAATTTTTTCCATCTCTACTTTCTCTCTCTACTATTTATCACTTGCAAATCAACCCCAAATGACCCAAACCCATCATCATCATCTTCAATTATCTCCAGATTCCAAGAATATCTGCAAATTAACACAGCTCATCCAAACCCCAAATACTATGAAGCTGCTGATTTCATCATATCTCAAGCTGAATCTTTGTCTCTTGTATCTCAGACTATTGAATTTGTCAAAAACAAACCCTTAATCTTGCTCAAATGGCCTGGCAAAAACCCCAAATTGCCCTCAGTTCTCCTCAACTCTCACACCGACGTCGTTCCGGTGGAATCCCAGAAGTGGACTCATGACCCTTTTGGAGCTCACATTGATTCTGATGGTAATATTTATGCCAGAGGTTCTCAGGCAAGCACTTCTATCAAATTCATAATTTTTTATATTTTTTTTAATGGTTAATTTTGCTGTAGTGATGTTAATTTGTTTTTTTAATTGACAAAGTTGATGAATATTAACACCCCAAGTAAAAAACCAATACTTTAGGATGTCATAAATAATGTGGGAGTGACATATATGCATACTACCTCCGATTTTACAACTTTGGAATATTTTATATCTCACGAATAATACCCAAAGTCGCAAATAATAAAAATCGGAGGTAGTAGTAACTTGAACTAGTGTATTGTATGAAGTATTAGATTAAAATTAAATTATGGGTCTAAAATATGATTTTCTTTTGAAAATTGATAAATAGGGTGCATAGAAAGATTGGTATCATGTTTATGGCCTGTGAAGAACCAACTGCAGCTAATGCTAGCTAAAACAGAACGTATTTTTTGTCAAAATTTTCAGTCATTTCTATATAAGCTCCTATGAAGCTGTTTTAAACCTTGAATGAAACTAATTATGGCACTAGTAAGGGTATACGACGAATTAATGCATTGTTTTGTCTATGTATGTGCAGGACATGAAATGTGTAGGTATGCAGTACTTAGAAGCTATTCGGAAGCTAAAGGATTCTGGTTTTGAGCCCACTCGTACCATCTTACGTCCCTGATGAGGAGATTGGAGGACGTAATGGGACTGAGAAGTTGGCGGAGTCTGATGTGTTTGAAAAAATGAATGTGGCTTTTGTACTAGATGAAGGAGGACCTTCAGCAGATGAGAAGTATCGGGCATATTATGCAGACAGGGCACTGATGTGGCTGGTGATTAAGGCTGCAGGAGCACCTGGGCATGGGGCAAAGTTGTATGATAACACTGCAATGGAGAACTTGTTGAAGAGTATTGAAAGTATAAGGAGATTTCGAGAATCAGAATTTGACATGGTAAAGGCTGGTTTGAAAACAGCAGGAGAGTTGATTTCAGTAAATTTGGTGTTTCTGAAAGCTGGCACTCAATCTCATACTGTAAGTCTGCATTTGTTCAGATTTTGTTTCAATAACTCACATATATGCATAAGT